GCGGCTACGAGACATTACATGGAGTGTTTAAAGTTTTGGACATCTGACCAGCCACATTTCAGGACTGCCTAAGTGAGTTATACTTGTTGGGCCTACTTGCAGGGAATATCAACATATCATCTGCATCTTAGCTAGGTTTAAATCTAGCCAGCGTCTGATCTAATGTAGGACTAGATGTCAGCAGAGCATTCGTAAAACCATTTTCGTGTCACTCACGTTTAGTGAGATGTTGGGTTGTTTTGCTTGAACAATCCATTACCAGCAGAAAATTTGGTATGAATGATTTCAAATGATAAACAATGTGTATATCCTACCTATCAACACAACAAACGTCTCATCATTAGTCATTGCTGCCTAGTCTTATATCAACCCCCACCTCTGCTGACAGACTCATGTGCTTTTCTTTACAAATACAACTTCTAATCTGCCAGAAAGAGATGGATATATAACTCGTCTGATCAGGAGACACAAACTTGGGATGTTTACTGTCCCAAGTAAGGAGCAGTAAACGATGTTTTGTATGCTTTGTTAATCGTCGAATCAAAAACCACATTGAATTCAGTATGCACTATATAGCATCTAGACAGTGGTCATTTGAACGGCACCAGGTTTTAATATGGAAATGATTTGATGCAATGTTTCTTTTCGTTGGGTGGTTAACATCATTGTCAATAGCTAGCGATACTGTCTTTACATTACCTGTAGGTGCCCGCAGTTTTCATATATCGTTGATACCGTTACGGAGTTCATGTATTACTAGTACTTACTACTGCTGCCTAACCTCCCCCGCCAAACCGACTGCTTCAGTCATAGAGATCCATCTGCTGTCTCGAATTTTATATATCAGTTTAGATAGAGATTATACAGAATTATCGAGCGGCATTTAGATTCGGCCAAAATTATCTTGAATGTTATCAGTAACCGGATAAGATAACCATGTCAGGAAACATGAAAATCTCAATTGGGCAAACAAAGGATTACAGCAATTTTTTCATTCTGGTAAGCTAATTTGTCATCTCTCTCCAACCGACTGCAGAACCGTTCCTGTTTATCGATTTAAAACAACTTCTTCACGCATAGGTATATACTTAAATTCACTTCACACACAAATATCCTTATATTTCAGTTTATAAAAGCTATGTATGTGGGTAAGTAAATGAATGAATCGATCAAATTACTTTATTCCCACAGTGTTCCAATTAATCAGAATTTATCTTATCCTGATATATATCTTCGAAAGTTATTTTTAGTGGATACCCGTATTTTAGTTCACCTTCTTCTTAGTCGAACGGTAAAAGCCCACCGGATAACGGTGCTTCCTCCAGAATTAAACACAGGCCAGAGACTGTTTAAAATAAATTAAGCGTCTACTCAAAGAAGGATATCCACTAAAAATAACGTTTAAAATAATAAAAATATATCATATTAAGAAATAATTTCTATTCGTTCTTTAGAAACTATATAAGTTTTAAGATGCATTTTAAAAATAAAATATCTTTCTTGAAACTTTTGCTTTAATTTCAAGCTATCGGTCTCTAGTTAATAGATTAAATTTAATATTTCCAATAAACAAAATACTTTGGATTGAAATACAGCGAATTTAAATTGATTGGAATGATTTTTAAATCGATCAAATCAGACATATTGACAAATCTGTCAACACAGCATAATTCGCTTAAAAATCTTTCAAAAATGAAACATTTTTTCTGAAACTTTGGAGATGATTAACTAATTTGAAGATTAATTAATCTGAATTAAAACAAATATTACTTATTGTTAGTTTAAAATATTGTAGACAATTATTTTCAACAGGTGTTGATAGATTTATCAATAGCTTAATGTTTAGTAAATTTAAAGTACAAGTTACATAACTATAAAATACTTGAATACAATGTAAATACCTTTTTTACATAATTTGGTAACTACACAGTAATCTTTAAAAAATTAGGAAAAATTCTAAGTAATCTAGTATTTTAGTAATTTTTAGGTACTTTGACTTTATAGTATTACTATAAGATGCTTGCTGAAGAAATGTTTCAAAATTTACCAATGAATTTTAAATTTACTATAGTTACCGAACTTATTTTCTAATAATGTCGTGTAGGGACGTCCGTATTTACAAAAAAATCGTCACGTTTATAGACACACACAATCAAAATTCTTTTCATGAAAATCCGACATTTATCTGATTTTTTTAAAAAAATTCCAATTAAAGTTATTCACCAAAAAAGATGCTAAAATTACACATGCTAATTTATAGTCCCCCGTTGATGCCAGAGATTTTTGAAAAACTTTCAAAGGTTCTTAAAAGAATTAAAAAATATTTTTTTTACATAAAATTTTGACGATAAAACTTGCCACGTGGGCTTTGTGACACCATTCGACCAAACTATCAGGTTGTTAAGTGATCCAGATTCTATCACGCCACCTCCCAGTCTAGACAGGAAATAAAGGAAGAGCAGAATGAAGAAAGAAAAGGGGGAAGCACAAAGAAAGCATATCCCTTGATAGATTGATAATACGTCTGATTTCAATTTGAATATTGATGTCACCATGTCATATATATATATATATATATATATATATATATATATATATATATATCTACACAGGATTAATTAAAAGTTATTGGCCCTCAAGAAGCCTTCCCAATGTACGTCAAACTGAGAAATTAAATATTTGTCACAATAATTTATTTCCTGGGGTTTTTAAGTTGTAAAAAACAAATCTATTAATCAAAATCTACTTCCTTGTCAATGCGCTAAATCCGATGGTCCTCCAATCGCCTAAAATATAGATCAACTAACAGTCAGGCTACGTATATATTGATCCACTCGTATATATATATATATATATATATATATATATATATATATATATATATATATATATATATATATATATATATATATATATATATATAGTGTCTCCCTAAACCTTTTCTTCTCTTATTCATTCTTTTTCGACTTGCTTTCATTCCTTCTTTTTAATAAAGAGGAAGAAAGCATTAAGTATAAAGAATCCGTCTCTTTCTTTCACACTCGCATCCTTTTCCTCTCCATGTAACACTCAACTAAACACTGTTTCGCTACTTCACCGATTTTTGGTACAACTGTCTATGCTCCTGAATAAACAATTTTGCGTTAATTTACTCGTTAACAATGACGAGGATGTTGGTCCGAATAAGTGTTGAGAAAATGAAAATACTTCATCTGTAAATTTCAAACAAAACTCGAACGGCCAAGTAGCAGGCCATCGAAACTAAAATAACAACTCTCAAACCATGATCAGATAAGACGAGCAAAGTTATAATGTGTGCTGTCCGAGTCATAGTTAACTTACGAAAGGATATTCATCCAAATAATGAAATAGTACATCGTTTAGGGTAAGAGACAGGAGATGAAATTCTACTATATAATTTACTATAAATGATTATTCAAATATATCCTTGCTTGATCCAGTTTCTAATGCTCTGGAGAGAGCGACTTGGGGAAAGAAGTCGTGGCTCTTGGGGTACAATCCGTTAGGTTTGTATACTTGGATGAGTATCACCACGGAAATAAATGAGTAGCGGCGCTATATTGAGTCTACTCAGTTTCTACTTCATCAGCGAGGCTCCTGGTATGATGGTTGCGTTGTATCGTAAAGGTCTTGGTAGTGGATCCATACTGCTGTTGAGTCCCAAATAAAACGAAACGGCCGCCCATTGCTTTCTGCATTCCGCTTAAGTACAAAAATCGTATTTTGGAAATACTTCTTGCTTTTGCTGGCAAATTCAAATAGCTAAACTCAATCAGCAGTCCTGCCTGTATAAACACTAAGATGGTATTATCAAAATATAAATCAACTTCAAATTTTAGGACTTTCATAAATATTACGCTGTTTCAAAGCATTTGCGTTTTGTTTCTTTTTTGGTTTTAGTACCGATAATAATTAGTATTATTGATATTCAGATGTAGTATGCGAGTTTCTGGTCATTTTGAGACTATTTGAAATTGACTGAAATACTAGTAAATCTTCGATAATTTTCAAAGGGAAAGGTTTATTCTTTCTCTCTCTCACACACACACACACTCTCTCTCTTTCTCTCTGGCACACTTTCTTTCACACTCTTTCTTTATTTCTCTCTCTTTCTCTCTATCTCGTTCTCACGAAATATTAAATTAAAATATATATTGACTTCTCATCATGTTGCAAATACGACACAATAAATGAATCTGGATTTGGAATGGAAATACCTTTTACAGCCGGCGTATTCTTTCATCTCTAGGATACCTCTGAATATTGAAAAATTCTTCAAACAATTCATAGCCAATATAGGAATCTGTTTTTAGAATGAATACATTCAACGTTCGCTATCATCTAGGTATTTGTTCTAGAATCTTCACGTTGATACCAAAATTCGTAGATATTCAGGGCTTTTATATAAAATGGCATAGATTATAATATATTTTGGCGTAAAATCACCCCCACCCCCCGCAAAAAAAACTAACTTGCCGAAATTTAAATTTGATCGACAAAAATTTTGTATTATTAGGAAGAAGAAAGATTGGAGGATATTCTCATAAAAAATCATTTGGGTACAACGCTATAAGACCTGTGTTGTTAATATAAAGTGGTAGTGTTATATGTTGTTTATCTCTCTTACAGGTAATCTATATTAGAAAATAGGCAAAAAATTCCCCGAACCGGCTGATACTAAAGGCTAACTGTTGCATGATCAGTTTGGTCTTTATCTAATTTTCTGATAATTATCTTTATTATTACAACACGCCCACCTTGATGTGTATTTGAATATCTGATCAATAGAAATGCTGTTAATTTTCCGATTATATTTCAAGCACTAGTAATTCGATCGTCTTATTTACCCGTCAAACTTAAGCTGTGACTTCAGCAGGAAGAGTGAATTTGTTATAATTCTAAAAGGAATGATAATAAATTCAATGGTCGTCTCATCGATATCTTGAACACCTAAATTTATGGTTAGAGCGTAGGATCGAATGCTACGAGATCTGGTAATTGTAGACTTTCTGTTTTTAATGTCATTTCTCATAAAATTGTTTTGATCTTCTATTATTAATGATTGTTTAGCTTTAAAGGTGTGTCTTTGCACAGCTATGTTTATATTGTTTCATGTAACATTTTTTTTTGTCTCCTGAATTCTATTTTCGTCCTTTTTTTTGTCGCCTTTTCTTTTTTATTTTATTTATTTATTTTTTTGCTTTTCTTTTCCTTTTTGTGTTCAGTCTCACTACGCCTTTCTTTTCCCTTCACTCAGTGTCTATCGACATCTCTTGGCCATCGAGTTTCCTGTAAAGTTTTTAATTTTCTCGATACGTTTTTCTTTTACACACTTCCCTTTTTCCTTCGACTTCTTCTCCTGTTCCTCCGCTTCCACCTTCTTCTTCGCCGCCATATTATTATTATTATTATTATTATCATTTTTTCCTCTTCTTCTTCTTCTTCTTTTCTTCCCTCCCTCCTGTACTGCCTTCTTCTTCTTCTTTTTCGCCTTCTTCTCCTGTGCCGCCGCCTTCCGTGTCGCATTCATCTTTTTCTTCTCATCGTTCATTTTTCTTTTAATTATTCACTATTTCATCAATTTCAAAATCCATTTATCATTTTAAAAAACGAGTATTTCAGGTACAAAAATTAATAAGATTATCGATAATGACAACCTTTACATTTTTTTTTTAACTGGAATTTTGGGAATCTTCTCATTGGCCATAATATTTGATTCCAGATAAAAAAAAAAAAACAGCTTTCTGAAGAAAAATAAACTTGGCTTGTTAATAAGCTTTTTTCCATTGACACCTGTTCAAAATATCTACGAACAATTTTCCACTCGGCACTGAAGTCTTAGTTATTCTTTTGCCGAATTTTCAATTATTTTATTTTCCTTTTAGATGGTGTCAATTCTAATTCGGTATATAAAATACGGATTTATATTGAGGTAAACTCCATAAAATGCTACGGCTTCCTTTGGTCTGTTTTCATAAATATAGATGGAGAACATTTTTGTTTTACAACTACTGTTCAAAAACCTTTTAATAGATGTAGATAACATAGATAATCAGCAAATAGAACATTTGCTAGTAATGCCTAGTGCTAGAGAATACATTTCTCGTATACGCCGACCAGTTTGGCCCTATTCTAGATGTAAGCCAAAGTCTCAGAGAATTCCAAGAGATCAATCTGTTCATCTTTCAGGCTACCCAACGTTTCCCGTGTCTCGCTAAACATTTTAATCATCTCTCGAAATCAGTAACCTATAAAATAAAATTGAAATTAAACTTCATCAAAACTTTTGGGGAAGACTTATTACAAATTAAGTTTCTTGAACATTTAGGAACACTTCGTGTTTCAAGTTGCTTACAACAAGGCGATATTTACCAAACTATTTTTATCAAACCATCAGTTTGGGTAGTGATTTCTATCCTCACCGGTGTCCCGAACTTGTTAACCTGTACCAAATTAATTTTTGTAGATATCAGACTACTGAAAGTATTGTTATAACTAACAAAATAATCTCGCTAAAATATTTGCTAATGATTATAATTTTCATGTAGTTCCTCTAGATGTAGAGTCTACTATGTGAAGATAGGTACAAAGCAAGATCATAATGAGCGGGGGGGGTCTAAAATAAATGTAGAAAAATCGTTGCGATGAAAAAATTGGGACTCAAAATTTAAGCTTCTGATATTTATAAAGATATGCTTATGAATCTGGTACTATTCAGAAGTGGCCATCTATCTACATAATGATCAGTATTGACATTGCTTAACTTCAGTAATTACAGACTTTATGTATGGTTCTTCATAAATGTAATATAGAAAATTAATTTTTCTGTCGTCTCAGTTTTGGAGATTCTAAATTTATTGAGATGTTTTAAAATATTTCTTGAAGATTTTTACTTTAATCTATGGGAAGATGCCCTGAAAAACACACCTGCCTGTCTCCCGACCATAACCCGGCGAAATGTTTACTTTTCTTTTATCTTTGTACCTTTTTTCATTAATTCTGATTTTCTTCTTTCGACTTTGCTCTTTTTTTCTTTCTTCTTGATATTCTTTCTTTCGCTATTTTTTCTTCCTTAACCTTTTTTTTTATAACATATTTCCTTGTTTCTTGTTCCCTGTAATCTTCATATTTTCTTTTTCTTCGCCATTTTTTTTAATACTTTTCTTCTCTCACGTCTTTGTTTCTTTTCTTTTTCTTTCAGTGTTTATTATTTTCTCTTTTGTCCTCCAGTCTTCAACGAAGAGCCTTGTTTTGAGAACAGTACTTGTTCACTGTCTTGGAAATGTTATTACAATATTCGGAGTAAAAATGTGACTTAATTCTGTCATGAATATGATAATTCGGTTGTCAAGATTTTCAAGGTGTCGCGGCGTCTCCTACTGCCATTGTGGTGCCTTTCACTTGATGTTCGTATTGTGGCGATTTTCATAGCCAAAGGTCGGCTCCGATTTACCCAACAAAATGTTGGATGTCATCAAA